AATTAATAAGAAACAGTTTTTTCCCGAGAAATTTTGGTGCAGTCGATTTTTGGGAAAAAAGGAAGGTTTATACACTGCCTTTTTTTGCCCAGAAAAAAAATTGTCTCAGATCGACCGGAAAAAAAATATTTTCTTATAGAATGTGGCCTGTAGAATCCATAATTTCAAACAGTTCCAAGATCGGACTACTAGATCAAAAGTTACAGCCCTTTGAATTTTTTGTCGAAATTGGTTTTTTGACCATAACTTTTGATTGAGACGTCTAATCGAAAAAGTACGAATCGTTTTGGATTCTACGCACCCAAATTAATCAGAAAAAGTTTTTTCCCGAGAAATTTTGGTGCAGTCGATTTTTGGAAAAAAAGGGAGGTTATACACTGCCTTTTTTTGCCCCGAAAAAAAATTGTCTCAGATCGACCGGTCGACTAGATCAAAAGTTACAGCCCTTTGAATTTTTTGTCGAAATTGGTTTTTTGCCCATAAATATACCTATTATTCAAAGTTTTCGTTGACTAATTAAATCAAAAGCAATAAAGGGGCCTGTCAGCAATAAGAAATAAAATACCGTTCTAATCTAATCTTTTTCGTATGTACAATAATAAATAGATAAATGATTACCAGCATCAGCAACCTGCAACCCAATTTCTATTTCTTACCCCCCTCCCCCTCGTCCTTCTAGTACGCACTGGGTGACTGTATGTGCCACGAACTTGTTAATCCCCCCCAGAATAAATTTCTACGTACGCCACTGCACCCCCCGGTGGTATTCCTAATTTGAGACAGTTACATTTTTTTAAAATAAATATTACAGAAAAATCGTTTAAAGTGTTGTTTATAAACAGCCATGTCCCAAACGCATTCGTACTTTTCGCGGGGGGGTGGGTGGGGAGATTCCAGAGCCCCGGTGATATTCCTTATTTGAGACACTTTGAGACCAATTTTTATAAATATTAAAGCAAAATCTGGTCAAGTGTCAACAGTAATCTCCCAAGCGCATTACCTTTAACTAGGGGGGGGGGGGGGTGTTAGATCTAGTGGTGTGGAATCCCTCGGCCTCCAATTCTCGATAGAATATTTATCACAATGAGCTTTGTTGAACATTACCCGAAAAACCTTTGAAAAGGGCGGGGGCGGGGGCATGTAAAAAGCGTTCTGTTTGGAAAGTTATTTTTATTATGGTATCAGGACCACAGAACAGGTTTTCTTACAAATTCCTCTTAAAAGTGGTTATGCTAGGATCGCGAAAATGCGCAAAAGTAACAGTTACTCTGCTACCTTGCTGTAAATTTTTATTTTAAGTGTATTGTATCAGGTTCTCAGAACCATTAGGAGGTGTATATTTTATTTACACGAACTCTCTCTTGATAGAAATTCTGTTCAGGTTGCGAAGAAGTTCTAATTTGTGGCCTATGAGTTCGGGGGAGGTTTGAGAAAGGGGAAGTAACAAAGTGGTGTGTCTCAAGGGACTATTTCAGGACCACTGCTTTTACTATATAATATATTAACTGTTGCTGTTAGTATAAATCTCCCCGGATCTAAATTTGGTCATTATCTGATGAGATATGGCCTGCTGATGGAGCTGTATACATTTTTATGTTATTTTACCCTGACCGCTCTCAACAAACGCATTAGGAGCCAAGCCAATCACAGATGAAATACCGCCTAAATTGCAAGTATCAAGCAGAATTTGTAAACACCAAGAAACGTCGCGAGGAGAGCTCGCCTAAAATACGGTACCGACTTATAAATAATTTTTTTGGCATTTTTCACGTTTTATTTATAATATACGTTCCGATAAACGCCCAATACCGATTTTTTCTCGTCCAGCTCGTGATTCATATCTTTCCGTATTGTTAATTTGCCAAAATCGCATGAGTCATTGAGTAATAAAACCTAGACGTAGTAAGATCTGAAAATTATTTTCGATTCTTTGTTCAAGCAGCGACGTACGTTTATATGAGAAAAAAAAGAGCGTCAGTTTAATGAGGTATTTTCGAAACGTGTCACTTCGTCCTTTATTATTTTCCTGTAAGGTAATTAGTTGTTTCTTTGACCCCTTAAGTTTACAAATTCTTTTGTTTTGTTGCCAATTTTATTTTACCGCCGCCAAATCAAATTAATTTTAACACTTCAAAGTTGATTATCTTTACTGTATGTTATGTTGTAAATGGATTACGCTCGCGATGATGCATATTGCATTCATTAACGTTATTTGTCTCAGTTACGTTTCGACTTAATGGTAAATTCCGATAGTACCAAACTGGCGCGAAATATACAGGATGGTTGATTTTTGAACAAATTATTACAGAATGTGCGAGCTAATTAACTAAACATTGAATTGGCTGTGGGATAATTAAAAACGTTCACGGAACAGCAATCGCTAAATTTAATTATCGGTGAAAGTGCATATTCGTGACGAAATCTGAAGTTGCAAAAATGAATGAAACTCGAATAGTTAGAGAAAGACCAAAAGATGAGCCATTTTTCAGGTGGGTCGCATGAAAATAGCCCTAGATTACCGTTTTTAGCGCATTTTTGAAAAAAAAAACAACATTAAAGATGAAATTCTAGTTTCTTTTGGCTAACATTCCCACGAAATATATGTAATATGCAAGAGAGAGTCACAGGGATGGAAAATACTGTAAATAAACAGCTACGGCTGTGAATGACCTCGAATCTCAACTGTAGACTCGAACGAGGGGCAAGTTACAAGTTTCTAGGGAGGGGACACTGCTAACAAAAACCCTTCGGCTTAGAATCTACGTGCGGTATGAGTTGCGATTCACTAATTTCCACATATTTTGTTGACTTTGCCGTCCAAAATTATTAACAAAAAGGTGTTATTGCACCAAAGATAAGTCACCTATTGTCCAGCTACCTTGCTTTGTATAACTTTCAACATTCTTTCAATAAATTACTATTATTAGGTCTATTATTTGACAGTGGTACTCGAAGAAATAGTTTACAACAGTATATAAAAAGAAAACTGTCACAAAATCTACGAAAACGTTCAGTTTTACGAACCAATTCAAAGCTACATTGAATGGGTAAAGATCGTCGATAATTCCGTATAAAACCACCAAAAATCCCCCTAAAGTGATTTATTTCCCGCTTCCTTGTTTCGTAATCGGTTTATACGAAACAAGTGTATCCATAACAGAAAATTTGTGTACATTCCTCCTTCACATTCGAAATTTCTTTCAATAACGAAGACCACCGACGCCGACGACGTGGAGAACATCCTCTTAATCCTACTTAAGATGTTACCGGGAGAGGCAAAAAACACAGGGCGGAAATCAATTTCGAGGAAGTAAAACGCAATTTTTCCACCCGTCGATATTGGGGAATTGGTCGATATTTATTTCTAAGTCGTTATATCGACTCCAGATGTTAATTTTCTCAGATGTTAATTACGCGCATTAAAATAATATACGCACGCACGTAACGGAAAAAAACTCACCTCTTTGTCTTTGGCAGCGATTTCACTTTCAAAATTTGGTTTCTCCATGTTTCCGTCTTTCGTCTCGTAGCCCACGTTCGTACCTGCTAATTGCTCTTTCAGCGTTGTGACTTCTTTTTCGGCGAGTGTCGCTCTCTGAAAGCAAAAATTGGGGTTGGTTAAAATCGCGTTAGTGGGTAATTTTAGGGGGGACGAGGTACGTGTAAGAAAATTAATCGCACCTACAGGGTAATTATCATATCAGTCGATTGTCATACGGTGTACCTATGGTTGAATGTTTGATTTAAATATACGTGTACAGTCATTCGTGTGGAAATTTTGATGCCAGCGAAAGATACATATTTTTATTTTACGAATTCGCCTTTGTTGTTTGTAGCAGTGGCAGCGGCGTGGCATCGAAACTGCAAAATATCGCGTCATAACAAAAATAAATGACAACTTCCTACATACATATTATATAAGCAGCAGTGAATAATTGTTTAAATGGGATGATAACAATTTCCTTAACGTCTTATCAGTTTCTGTGGTTTGACGGGGAAAAAATGGTTCGTGATAAAGTGTTTTAAATTATCTGCATTATCCAGAGGTTTGCCGAGACCGAGACAAAGGTTCGGTTCGCTGTCCAAAAAGTACCCCATGCCCAAACGCCTCTGGGAGAGGGGATTTCTTTGAATGTTGGAACCTCTGACCACTCGTTCGAATTTCAAAATAGACCTCAGATTTGGATGCACCCCTCTTTTCTCGATTTGATGTGTTGCCCCATAAGCTTCCCTCACCTTGCCCTAATGCGTAATCAGCGTAATGGAGCTTTTGGGAGTCGTTAAGAGCATTTGAGATACGAGCTTTAAAGGTCTAGCTTTAAGACAGTCCCCAACAGTTTTTACGGGTTTTCAAACTCTAAATTGTATATCAGTCTTTTAAAGACCTTTAGGGTCGTCAAAAACCTTTTTTGAAAGCAGGCTGGGGAGATTTTCAGTAATTCTTACCTTACGTTGAAATAAATTCCACTGTAAGAGACAGGGGAAGGGTGGAATACGCTCCAGGCAAAGAAGCATTGGAATATTACATTTCAAGCCATTCTTGAACCAGTATTTTGGAAAAAATGTGTGCCAGAAATTGTGAATGCGCCTAGCGAAACATTCTGAAACCTCCCCCAAGCTCAATCACTGGGGGAAGAAGTGACTTGAGTATTTTAACTTCTGATCCATTCGCAATTGATTATATCTATTAATTACACCATAAAACCACTTCATCTCGCCCTTCAAAAAGACTTCTTCTCGATTTGACCTTTGGTTTTCCATAAGACCGGATTCGGGGAGGATGACGGCACTAAATTCTCTAAAAAAATTCAGTGTACTCCACAACCTTTGGGGAAGCGTCTAACAGACCTTTAGAAGAGTGAGCCTTTTAGAGCCTTTAAGACTGTTTAACATTCATTAAAAGTACTACTCGAATTGTTGAAACCATTTACGAGCTTTAAAGGTCTCTGTAAGTACACTTTTGAGCATCGTTAACAGCCTTAACAGTCGCCACCACTCTTTCGGGTCTTCAAAAGTTTCCAAGAACTGTCGCCTTACCTCGCTCTAATACGTTATGAGTGTTGCCTGTATTAAGGGTTGCTTTCACTTAAGAGTTGGGCACATGATTTTCGAACTAAAACGAAAAATTGTGAGAACACTATGTTCAATCAATTGAATTCGAAATTAAACTTTTTACCTTTAGTGTAATGTAACAGGGTGAGGTGAGGCGGCGCAGCTGCCAAAACCGAGCATATGGACCGTAACTTACAAAAACAAAGTGAAGATACGCAATTTAGCTACTATAATTACTTGTCGATTTGATACGTCCTGCTCTATACGCTTCGTTTCGGCGGCTGCGCCGCCTCACCTCACTCTAATACCTTAAGAGTGTTGCCTGTATTAACGGTTCATTTCACTTCGAGTTTAGCGCGTGAATTTCGAACTAAAACGAAAATTTTAGAAGAGAATGTGATTCTCAATCAATCTCAATCTAATTTAAACTTTTTACCTTCAGCGTAACGTAACAGCGCGAGGTGAGGCGGCGCAGCCGCCGAAACCGAGCATATGGACCGTGACTTACCAGAACAAAGTGAGGCGACGCAATTTATCTACTATAATTACTTGTCGATTTGATACGTCCTGCCCTATACGCTCGGTTTCGGCGGCTGCGCCGCCTCACCTCGCTCTAATACCTTAAGAGTGTTGCCTGTATTAAGGGTTGATTCGAGTTTAGCGCGTGACTTTCGAACTAAAACGAAAAATTGAAAAGAGAATATTATTCTCAATCAATCTCAATCGAATTTAAACTTTTTACCTTCAGCGTACGGTAATAGCGCGAGGAAAGGCGGCGCAGCCGCCGAAACCGAGCATATGGACCGTAACTTACCAAAACAAAGTGAGGCGACGCAATTTATCTCTCGATTTATCTACTATAATTACATGTCAATTTGATACGTCCTGCCCTATACGCTCGGTTTCGGCGGCTGCGCCGCCTCACCTCGCTCTAATACGTTATGAGTGTTGCGTGTATTAAGGGTTGATTTCTCTTCGAGTTCAGCGCGTGAATTTCGAACTAAAACGAAAAATGGAGACGAGAATGTTATGCTCATCTAATTCAAAACGAAACTTGACACCTTCAGAGTATGTATCCCAACGAACTAGCGCGAGGTGAGGCGGCGCAGCCGCCGAAGCCGAGCATATGGACCGTGATATATTAGAACAATGTGAGGCAGTGCAATTTATCTACGATAATTACTTTCCGAACCGAAATGTCCTGCTCTATTCGATCGGTTCCGGCGGCGCCTCACCTCGCTCTGATACGTTGTGAGTTTTGCCTGTATTAAGGGTTGCTTTCAGAACAAGTTGTTCGAGTGAATTTCGAATTAAAACGAAAAATGGCGACGAGAACGCTATACCCATCTAATTCAAAATTAAACTGTACACTTTCAGCGTATCTACCTTAACGCAATAGCGCGAGGTGAGGCGGCGCAGCCGCCGGAATCGAGCATATGGACCGCGACGAATCATAACAACGTGAGGCGGCGCAATCTATCCACTTTATTACTTTCCGGTTGATACGTCTTCCCTATCCGCTCGGTTTCGGCGGCTGCGCCGCCTCACCTCGCTCTTAATCCGTTAGGAGAGTTGCCTGTCTTAAGGGTTGCTTTCAGTTCGAGTGAATTTCGAAATAAAATCCAAAAATTGAGACTAGAATGCTATTGCTCAATTAAAAATGAAATTGGACACCTTCAGCGTATGTACCTTGACGTAATAGCGCGAGGTGAGGTGGCGCAGCCGCCCAAAACAGAGCATATGGACCGTGACGTATCAGAACAAGGTGAGGCTTCGCAATTTATCTACTATAATTACTTGTCGATATGATACGTCTTGTTCTATACGCTCAGTTTCGGCGGCTGCTCCGCCTCACCTCGTTCTAATATGTAGCGATTGCTGCCTACCTTCGCGCTATTTTGTTATTTGTTTTAAAACAACATAATCAACCTAAAATTCTCGTCTCTGTCATATTACAGTATAAACTGATCTTTCATCGCAGCTTTTACTGTAATTGTTGAGCTTACAACCCTCTCTGCGAAAAAATGCAGTGTACGATTGATTACGGCGGTTTTTATAGACCAAACATTTAATAAATGACAACAAAAACCCATGGAGCATAACTGCTCCTGCAGGAGAGCGGGAGGGAAAGTCAGAAAATAGTGTATAGGGTCGATTAAAATTCTCGTTTAATTACGTGGGGTGTAATTTCACAGAGGTTTTAAATATTTCAAGAGTCTATTTAAAGAGAAAAAATAAGTGATTCTGTCTTTTCACAGGCAGTGTACGAAGCGATTCTAACCAAATGATTTAGGACTCGTATCCGGTAGACACTTAAATATCTGTTATAGGAGGGACGCTCCAGATGTCACATGCCATAAAAAACGATCGGAAATGTCTACTTCGACTTCAAATTGCCTTTAGAAAATACATTTTTATTCGATTCTAATTTCCTGCCAGGTACGTCCCTTAGCGGGGAAAATAAAAAAAAAGGGATGACAATAAAGCGGGACAGAGTCAAAATAAAAACTGTCCCGGGCTGTTTAATTAGGTAAAAGTTTTGAAAGGGAATCCGCTTAAAGGCACCGATAACTTTATTAGTAATCACATCTGTTAATTAACTAAGTAACCACCCCCGCATTTACTTCAACCCCTTATATTGAAGAATCCCCACAGAGAAAAGCTCGAAGTTTATTATTTTCCGAGGTAATCTGTATCATATCGATTTCGGCGGTGGTACGTTTTTGAAAAATGAATTTCCATCCTTCGAGTTACAGCCCACATTTTCACACAATAATAATGTAAGGCGCGACCATTCATAAATTTTATAAATTATACGCCCCATCGAATGTACGCGGTTGGTTGTAAAACGGTTCCGGAACGTTAAACAGAAAAATTGCAAAAATTTAAGAGGTCGAAGCGTATTTTATTGATAAAATCGGGCGAATCAAAGTAAAAGAGGGTGGAGAGAGAGCGAGAGGTTCGAAATATCAACAAAAGAAAATTTGACGTGTTCATCAATAATGAAATTAACTTCGACGAGCATCAGCACTACCTACCCCGAATATCCAGATTCTGTATCGATGGAGAATACAAAGCTTTTTGTTTAATCAAAATCTCAAATAATTTTCGAAGCGTGACAAATAATCGAGTGGAATTTATATTGAAATATCGAGCATTACTTCATTAATTGCAAGTTGAGATAGTTTATTATTAGATTTTGGATCTCGAGCACTAATTCGCCGCTCGCGATTTAATGAAATCGAGATATGCAAGTCGTAAAGTTGTCAGCCCAGGACCGATATCTGATCGTAACGAACAAGAAAACTATATCGAGCGATCTGTCGATATTTTAACGTGGAAGCGTTTCTAATTGAAGTTTCCAAAAAGATCAAATTCCTGAAATATCTCTGATACTTTCCCACAATACGACTGGATTCGCAAATTGAGTTTAAGATTTCAAAATATAAAAGTAGAAAACCTTTTTTTCTAATATACTTTTTGACGAATTATTTCGACAAATTTGAATTTTTTGGATCCTACAGGTCAGAATTTCATTTTCAA